TGCGCATATTTTCTACATTTTTATTTGCATATTTGCCGAAGTCTAGTAATAATAAAAGAATGTACATTTTTTTAAAAGAAGGGGAAACTGATAGTATTATATAAAAGTGGATTAACTTGAAAACTAATTTTTTGTAACTAAACACCTTTTTCCACTTGGCCCTTTAATTGGATCATAATATAATCTATATCTTTACTTATAATCTGTTCAATTTTTAGCTCTTAATATTAATAAACAATGAAAATACGATTTTAAGAAAAAAAATGATATCTTGGTTCCTCTTGATCATACGTTCTTTTTTTAAAAGATTGTATTTTTCACCATCGTATCAGTGAGCCTACTTACAAGCGCATGACATACATAATATCAAACTCATTATAAATGTTTAGATGCTAAGAAATCAACCCTTTTTTAAACGGTTTTTTTATTAACAATTTTGATAAAAGGTTGAATTGTTTTAATATATCTTTAAATTGGAGCCTCAAACTGTTTATTGACTTTGAATCTATAATAGAGTCTTTGACTCTATATAAAGTCTTTGACTCTATAATAGAGTCTCTGATTGACGTTTAAAATCAGCTGTAAGTCTTTAAAGATTTGTCATCAGGTATTCTTTACCTTTTAGAACCTTATCTTACGTGAAATCGATGATTTTTTCGCAGATAAACTGGGGTAAAAGATATATCTCATTTATTCTTCATAAAAAGTAAAAGAAGTTGCAGCATGCAATAAATTTAGAAGATCGGGGTTTATATCGGATGTGTTATTTATTATAACCCACAACAAATTTATTGACATATTTAGTATAATATAATATCGGCGAATAAGTTTAAATTATGGCTTTAGAATATTTTAACAACATCGTAACAGCTTCAAGTGTGTTTCGTAACATTTCAAAACTGGCCAAAACAATGCATTATTTATGTAAATGCAGCAATAATATCTCTAAACCATAGTTTACATTTACTTATTTGATAGGTAAATATAAACTTTGTATCAGAAGTTTCCTTTATAAATAAATAAATCGTAACATATGGTATTTACTAAAAATATTTTGTTAACCTTTTAATATAATTGGTATATCTTAACAGCAATTAAATGAAGTAATAAATAAAAAAAGTAAATAAGCAATATTTGGAAGCATAAGAAATATTTAATACTTACATTCGGTTTAGAATTCGAATCTCCATTGTGATCTCCACTGTCAATCCCACTATCTTCCATCACAATTTGGAAGCCTAAATTTCAAAAATAAACAAAAGCTGAAAATCTAAAATCACATTCTGTAAACTACTTAATCACCGGCGAGGTTCAAAAGGCCTTGTATACTATTTTTGATAGCACGTAAATTAACCAGCATTTGTTTATTCACCTGCTGCTAGCTATCATCGAGCACTAAACACTAGCAACATGGAGAGTTTGGTTTTCGCGAGTCAGGGAATATTATCTGGTGGAAAATCAATACAGAGGTTCATAACCTGGATGAACGTAGTTCCGAACCGCGCAAACGGACTTGAACTAGAATATTTGAAGTTTTAATGACTTGTTTGTTGGCAAACACGTGATAATAGTAAATTGATATGGTTAATATGTTTATTTTGGTAAAATTCCTATTTTAATTTGGATTTTTCCTATTAATTCAATTTACGAAACTATCATAATATAGTTGACTCAAGTTTTACATGATATGATAAATATATTAATAGTACTATTTATGTATTGATGCAAAAATCTATACATAAAAAAGCCCCAGGAGCAAGCAACAATACATCATTGGAGCCTCCATCAATTCCAGAAATACAGGATGCAATAAAACACCTAAAAAATAATAAATCTCTAGGAAGTGATGGTATATTCCCGGAACTTATTAAATATGGAGGTGCTACCCTGACTAGTCATATATATATATAATATATATATATATATATATATATATTATATATATATATTATATATATATATATAGAAACTATAAATAGAATAAAAAAATAATCAATTACTCATCAAATCACACATCCCTTAATGCTCAATAAAAATTAAATACACATATTTCTAAATCAAATATCTCTTAATATAAAAATTTTAGAAAGAATTATTGGTTCCTTGACTTCTTGCCTTAACTATAAAAATATTGCAAATTACAAACAATTGACATGAATGTTGATAGATGGTCGTGATATAATGTCTTTATAGAATTTATTTAAAAACTCAAAACTTTGGTTTTTAAACAAACTATCTTCCAGATACTGACCAGATCGCAATGTACTTCCCAGATCCTACCAATTTCCCTGCTCGCTATTCCGCCTACGGTTTATTTTGATAATAAAAGAAAAAGACAAACAGTGTGTGAAAATGTCGTGATGTCTTTACCACAAGCTCCAAACTCCAAGACAAACAAATTGCTTTCTCTCAGACACAACGAAAATATATCTGTTTGTACTTACAGTAATGCCTCTATTTCTACTGGAACTCCTCTCTGCTTACCACACTGGCTGCTTAATTTTCCACACAAACACTAAGGACTACTTCTTATAAATTCTCAAAAAAAAAATGTTTTCACCGGAACCGTTCTCTCTCGATGTTCAACTCACAATGTCTTTCCTTTCCCTTATTTCATTCCCGGCAAGCTTTTCACCCCTCTTCTTTATCCATCTCAAAACAATCCAAACAAACCTCCCTCTCATCAAACGCATCATCGATGCCTCCTGCATATATTTGATCCTGAGAAGGATTTGATCCGAAGGATCCTGAGAAGAATATTTGGTGGCATCTGTGAAAATGGTGTTTGGAGAAGGAGGTACAACTACGAGATATATCACAGATTTAAACATTTGGTGGTAAAGACGTAGTATCTCTTATAAAAACAGGAAGACTTAGATGGACAGGACATCTGGCAATATCACAGCAGAACAACCCTCCTAGAAGAATTGTTATGTCATAACCTGTGAGAAGTAGAAATAGGCTCAGCAACATGGCAACAGTTGGCAATGGATAGAACTGACTGGCGTAATAGTCTTGGGAAGGTCGAGGCTCTTTTATAGGTCTTTGACGATATCGAAGGCGCTATGATCCACTGTTTATACCGCGACAAATAAATACAATTAATGTCATAAAAATCTAAACGAAATACGATATTATTAAAACAAACATACGCTAAAGAAAAGAAGTGATCTGGGTTAGATGTGGAGGGATCGATAAACGCTCGATCCGGCATCGAACGGGAAGTGACTTATCAGTCATGGAACGAGTCTAACTTAAAACACTCTAGGAGCAGTGGAGTTGTTCTCAGATCAACACCGACAGAATTCCCATGACTTCTTAATTTGGGACAAAAAATGTAGAATACATTTTTTTGTCGCGTGGAGCCTTCTACGGCATGGTATTATGATTGGTACGTTCCTTATCATTAAGGTGATCGCCTATTTCGTAAACTGGTCTTGGATGACTGTCAAGAAAATGCTTTCCTCCGTAAATCTTGGGCATGGTCCCACCAAATCCATTGGGACAGGGTGCCAAGGGTTTTCTATAGCGAATAGTCTTATTTTTTGCTGGCTGCATCTGCGACGGTTTACACTGAAGGCATTTTCTTATAATTTCTAACATAGCCTGCTATTCTATTAAGTTCGGTTTCTATTCGAGTCCCATTCGATATATATTCGGGTTATGTTCTTTTTCGGTTCTTCTTCGGATTTGGTTCGTATTCCGGTCTTATTCGGTTTTTGTCATATCTCCGTGATCTTTAAAAAAAATCTAAGTCTTAATCTCAAATCATCGGTAGTTCCTTTGGAATCTAAGCCGACCTTTTCGAACTCGAGATGTAATTCCTCTTTTAACAGGTGGTATATCCACCACGTATCTGTCGTGACACCCGTTACTGAGTATATGTCTGTCGTTGCTGGATGAAGCGGTACTTTTACCAACTGCTTGCAACCATTTCTTCTTTGTGCGTCCTCTTCTTTTTTCTTCATTTCTTCCTCCTTCAGTATTTTTTAAACATTTCTATTTTCTACCATTTCTATAATGTGACCAATCTATCTAGCTTTTTGGGCTCGTACTTTTGTCGTAATTGGTAGTTTGCCATATATCCTTATTATTTCTTTATTTGTTCGTCTTCTCCAAATATTCTCTGCCGTCTTTATCTCTTTGAAGATTTTTCTGAGCACGTTTCTTTTCCAGATCTCTACTTTCTTTTCTTCCTGCTGGTTCATCATCCACGTTTCACTGGCTACATCACTGTAGGTCCGATTGCTGTCTCGTAGACTCGCAGTTTAGCTGTTCCTGACACATTTTTTGATTTCAGTAATGAATTTAGTGACCCTATCGCTTGGATTCCATACATTAATCTTTTGGCTATCTCTTTTTCTTCTTTTTCCGTGTTCGTTATGGTTACTCCTAAGTAATAAATTCTGACACTGATTTTGATGTCAAGTGAAATATGTTTTCCTTCAATCTTTCGCCACCTTCCTTAAAATTTCAGCTGGGATACCACTTTCTCCTGCACTTTTGTTATTTTTTTAGGGTGCTTAGCTGTTCGTAGAACTGTTTTTTGGTTTCTAAATCTTTATCTTCAGTGGACACATGTACATTAATAATATTTATCTTCCAATACTTTCCTCTTACTCTTAAGTTACACATTTTCTCTGATGAGAGAGGTACGTGCATATATCTGAATCAAATGAATCAGTAGCAGCTATTTGGTGCTAAAGAATGATTGTATTATTATTGTTTTATCAAAATAAGTAAGAAATAAATATATAAATATATCAATATATAATATAGATATTAAATATATGGATATAATACAAACGGAGAACATGATGTTTGCAAAAATGTGATGTTTAAAAGACATGGCATGGCACGCAATGTGTTAAACGCTCAAGTATCAAACGTTTGGTCAATAACACACTGTCGCCAAGCAACTTATACACTTTGTTACGTCTAAAAGTGTCATATATTGTCAATAAGACACTGAAATTGTCGCATATACATGTGTTAAATAATATACTAAAACATAATGAAGATGCCCCCCGCTAATATTAAGAAATCCCCTTCCATCGTAGGCAATGCTGGTGCTCAAAAAGTGGTAAATATTTCTCTTATTTTTTAAAGCACGTTAGGGAAACTAATGTATTGGTAACACACAGATGTTTTGTACGATAAGAGACGATGCATTGTAAAAGGTCAAAGGAATTTATATCCGTCTTCTCAGCGTTAAACATGCAATTTGAAATATCGGTTGCCGAAAATAAATAAGAATATAAATGCACGATCTTCTACATCTGTGACAGAAAGCTTTTATAAAATATACGGAATATAAATTGAGCCCTTCTAGCTAGTAACATCATTCGAGACTTGTTTTTAAAGATAAAAATGTTCAAAGCTACTCTTGTTAGGAAAGTTAAAGAGGTCAGGAGTTGCAATTTGAAAGATTTTACCAATTCTTAATGTCTAATTATAATTTTTCTTTATTTTAGAAAAGAAATTTGAAAAAAGAGGAAACTTCAGATGACTTAGAAGAATGGAAAAAAGCTAAGCAACTATTAAAACCAAAGGATCAATTAGAACTAACTGATGCAGTAAGTTTATTTAGAAATTTATATTCTAATTTGTTTTGCATTCATTTATGAGTTTTGTCTTAGACAATAGGGCCTAATTTCACTCATCCTCTTTTTATTTTGTGTTATTTTAGTGTATATGTGTATTTTATGTGAAAAATGTATTTTATGTAAATAATAGATAAGTTCATGATTAGCAAAAATTCAAAAATATTAAAAAAAAATAAGGAAATATGAGCATATATTAAATGCCAACATTTTTTTCCAAAATTAAACAAGTTAATTTAGTAGGAATAGCACTATATTTAAAAAAATACTTCTCTCATACCATCGTTCTGTGAAACTGTATTTATGAATAAAGTCCATATAGAAGTTAAATTACAAAATATTATAAACAAACACTATTGCAGTTTTTCGTCGTCACTTCTTGCAGTGATTTCATATTTTTATGAAGAATCAGAATGTAGAGTTATATAGAAGCGATGGTACATCGTAGGAATTTTTCCAGTATCGCAAAGCCATAACCCAGTTAACTTCTTCTTATCTATTGGCAAAAGATCTGTGTATACTTTAGATGGAAATTTGTCAATACTAGACGGACGTCCCCTTTTTTGCTTTTGTTAGATCACACCTGTTAGAATTGTACTTAAAAAAAGCAACATTTGGTGTGTTATACGAAGTACTGATTTCCTTTATTTGATCATTCCTTTTTCATTATCAGTTTTTCAATTTTTGTTGTCAACAATGCTTTTGAAATCTAGGAAGTATTCTTGTAACATTTCTGTAACATTATATACTTTTTCGATAGTTTTACATATTCTTATCAAAGTAATCCATTGTTCCGAAACATACAAGACCGAATGACATTTTTTCAAGTTTATAAATACAGCACGCATGCTGTCTCCCTCATTTTGGGTGTGGCCTTTCTCTAAAAATCTATGAGTAATACTAACTTATAATTAGATAGCTGTTTTGCCCACCACAGTTATCCGAATAGAAGATAAGTGATTTAATTCCCTTTTTTTTCTGGGTCTCTATAAACTTCCACAAACAATTAGCAATTGCCTTTGAATCTCATTTATCAATTTATTCATGTCATACATAACAGCTAAAACTTTTTGGAGATCAAAACATGCAACGCAGATGGTCTTATTAGTAAAGGCATGTTCTTTGTCGCTGTTTTTCATATTTCTAGCCACTATTTTGTTAGCTAAGTGACGTTCATAGTTCTCCTGTAAGTCGATCTTCCTAGTTTTATCGGCTAGGTTAAAGACTTAGCAAACATCGCACTGATCTTTCTTTGTTCTAAAGAAACTGATATTAAATTTAGTGTTACAAATGTCCAATACTGTTTTCATCGTCATAAAATTCCGTATATAGTTTATACATTTTTTGAATGCTAAACCTCCTCAAGATACATCCTCTTAGAATCCTTTCTAATATAATGTGACGGTACCAACCCAAATAATTTTATATGCTTATTCATTAGTCTATGCGGTTATACTTTATGTTTTTCACGTTGATCTGATTGTAAAATTTTAGTTTCCTTTCTTTTAGCCAATGCCGTATTTACCCAAGTTTGTTAAATACCAAGTGTTTTTAAAAACATATTTTTACAAATTTGATTTTGTTCGCCGCTAAGCTGAAAATGATATTGCAAGGAGAAAATCCTACGACAGAGTAAACTAGCAGAAACAGTACTTTGTTTTTTCTCTATCTGTGTCACATGCTGCACAATAAAGTCCCATTACCTTGTATGATCTTGCAAGTTCCAAAAGTCTTTCAAAATCCTCTGTCCCATTTCTTTTAAGTAATATTTTTCTTGTTCTTCTTACTCTTACTTATTTGTTCCCCATTTTCATTAATATTATTATAGGGAATTTAAAGGTAAATAGTCTGGTTCACTACCTGAGCTTGTATCAGTATTAACTAAATTTTCGTTAACTGTATTCGTTCGTTCGTTTCCTGAAAACAAAAAGATTATGAATCTTTACTTATTTATATTAAAAAAACCTATAGACCCTTCGATATTAGCAACTATATCTTCTCGCATCGTATTTAGGTCCGGATTATCTCAAATTGTTTCTAAAAAGAATAAGAAGAAAATATTAAACAAAACAGAAACACCAGAGGAATGGCATAATAGTATCACAATCCCCATATTTAAAAACTTTAGAAACTTTTCACGGGTATTCTCAAGGACAAATTGGAAAAGCAAATCACTAATGCTGAAGAACAACAAGGTTTTACAAAAGGGTGGTCTATAACAAACGCAGTATTTATAATAAAACAAATAAAAGAAAAAGCTATAGAGTTCGGCATGCCAGCGTATATTTGCTTCATTGATTTGACGAAGGCATTTGACAGAGTTCGCCTGGGAGACATTCTAAATATATTAATAGAAAATGAAACACCGACCAGTATAACAAAGATACTCCATAAACTAAATAACAACAACGTAACCAAAGTTAGAGCAGGAGACGAATTCACTGAAAATATTCCAACACCGGGAGGAATTAGACAATGCGACAGTTTAAGCCCCTTCTTGTTTAATCTTCTCATGGGCAAAATTATCAACAAAGTAACATCTCTTAATCTCGGATATAGAATGGGCAACAAAAGAATTGGTATGGTGTGTTACGCAGACTTACTTACTTACTTACTCTGTGGCGTTACAACCCTTCGTGGGTTTTAGCCGACTCGACAACATGCCTCCACTGTTTTCTGTCTTGAGCAACCTCCATCCAATTCTCCACGCCCATAGTGCTTAGGTCTCCTGCTATATTATCTCGACACCGGAGACGAGGGCGTCCACGTGGTCTCCTTCCAGTTGGGACTTCCTCCCACACCAGTCTTACTGTTCGTTCGTCAGAATGTCTTCTGAGGTATCCTGCCCAGGTGTTACGCAGACGATGCAGCAATTATTGCCGAATCAGAAGATGATCTCCAAAGGCAGCTCTTTCAGTTCTTTCAAACAAGCCGACTACTAAATATGAACATATCTACCAACAAAACTAAATGTATGACAATAGCAAAAGATCCGCTCAGATGTAAGTTAGTGGTTGAGGACAACCCCATAGAACAGGTGATGCAATTCAGATATCTGGGCATAGATATATCAAGAACCCACGACCCAGTAAAGGACCTGAGGAGTCAGATCAACAAAGCATCTGCACTGTCAGGATGTCTGCGGGAGATAGTCTGGTCAAATCCGTATATGCGCACAGATAGTAAAATTAGAATCTATAAGACTTGCATACGCCCGATCATGACATATAGCATAGAAGTGCGCGAAGATACTAACAAAACGAAACAGATGCTAAGGGTTGCCGAAATGAAAACCCTAAGTACAATAATGGGGAAAACAAGAAGAGACAGAACGAGAAATACAAACATTAGAGAGCAGTGCAAAATTCAAGATATTGTAAGATGGGGAAGGCAGCGCAAGAGGATGTAATACAACCATGTAAGACGAATGGATGAGAATAGACTCCCAAAAATTGCCCTAGAAAACAATCCGCCCGGTTCAAGACCCCCCGGAAGACCACCTAAAAGATGGAGGGATAGTTGGCAATCTACCTTCCACGAAATTAACCAGAGGCAGCTTCAGAATTAAACAGATCGAAAGATCTACAAAAAGTAGAAGAAAAAGAAGAAGTTTCTGAAAAGAGATATTAATAATTCGTGTTTCTACAAACTATTTAAAATATACTAAATTCTTGAACACTGCACTTGTTAAGAATGTGTTTCTCGATTGTTAGCTGTCCTTACTAAATTTACTATGAATTGTCCTATCGAGAAGCGTGTAATATCGGCATCGGATAAAAACAGCAAAAACTATTCACAAGGAAAAGGATCTTGTAGAAAGAAGTTCGCTAATTCTTCTTGTACGAATTTTATTGCTGTAAAAGCATTTGGTCTTCTGTCTGTGTGCAGGCAATTAAATGGCTTTTTTTTGTTTTAATTATTGTTTATATTTTGATAACGATTTCCGAAGTGGAAATCGAAAGGTCAATAAACTTACTTTAACCTTCAATAATTTTTTAGGAGCTAAAGGAAATAATTCCTAAACAACTTACTTCAACCAATCCACAAATTCCGGAAGGTCTCATAGAATGGAGCTACTTACAGGCAGCATTTGTGCAGCTGCCATCTCCAGGCAATATGGTCAAAGTATTTTCTCAAGAGGGTACTTTGCTACACAAGGACTCAGAAGAGGCTCGACAGCAAATGGTTGAAATGGGAATTGACCGTAAGTAAAAATGTTATGATTATATAACGAAAGTAAGCCAATGATTTGACTATAGTTTTTGTTAAGAACTAATTTGCAGTTCTTGTTTTGTTGATAAGGAAAATGCAGTAACATGCTTTAAGCATAAAACAAGGAATTCAAGTTTGAAAGCATGTGTGACGATAATATTGCGAGATTCAATTTGTTTATTGTCTGTATTTTTTTATTATAGCTTCAGAATATTTCTCGTCTGAGGTTACCTTAGTACCAGAAGAACCTGAACCTTCCATACATGAACAAGAGCCGGAACCGGAAGTTGCAGAAGAAGAGGCAGCTAAAGAAGAAGACGCCGAATCCAGAGTGACTGTCAGAGAGGAAGAAGAGGAAGAAGAAAAGGGTCCCGAGCCAGAGAAGCCAGAAGAACCCGAAGAAGCCGACGAAGATGAAGGGGAAATAGCTATTGAAAAGAAAGCCCCGCCAAAAACTGGGGGGAAACCCAGAAAACTGACAAATCAATTCAATTTTTGTGAAAGAGCTGCGTTAACTTATAACAATCCTACCAGGGTAAGTTATTTAATATTCATAAAGATAAAAGAGATGTTGAAATAGCTTTTTCTTCTTCTTTAAGTTCCATCTTCTATCGAAAGTTGAAAATCATCATGGCTATGTGGACTCTGTTGACTGCCGCTCTAAATAGTTCTGCACTACTGAATTCAAATCATTTCCTCAAGTTCTTAGGCCATGATATTGTTCGTCTTCCCACATTTCGCTTTCCTCGAATTTTGCTTTGCATAATAAGCTACAATAATAGGTATCTTTGATCACTTATAACATTGCCTCAAGTACTTAAGTTTTCTTATTTTGGTAGTTACTATTATTTCAGCTTAATTTCCTATTTTTCTAGTAACTTCTGCGTTTGACATTCTTTGAGTCCATGATATTCGTAGGATTCTTCTGTAAGACAAAGAGCTGTAACACATTCAAAGGCGGCCAACTTATTAAGATGCACCTGTTTTAGGTAGCCATAAAGAAGAGTAGTGAATATGTAACACCGAAGCATTCTTAGGCGTAGTCCTAAACTTATGTTCCGACAACAAAGAAACTTTTTAAGTTTAACGAATGATGAATGTGCTATTTCAATACGTGTTTTAATTTCTTTAGTTTGTTCTACATTTAATGTTATCCATGTTCGTAGTTTGTAGTACAAACTATGTTTGTAGTTATCCAAACTCTCAATTACAGTATCCTTAACAATTAATTGAATGTTTGCATTTGCTAATTTAGTCATGATCATGCATTTAGTTTTTTTTTCAAATTCATCCTTAGTCCGTATTAATGAGAGAATTCACTAAAGCGTTGCATTAAATTTTGTAAATCACTGATTTTATCAGTCATGATTACTGAATCGTCAACTACTTGCGTCTAAAAACGGAAGTTATTTAAAACTTCTCCGTTGATAGATATACCTTCTATTGAATCTGAGAGCGTGTTTTTAAATGTCGCTTCACTGTAGTCATTGAAGGGTAGTGGTGACAGCACGCAATCCTAGCGGACTCCTTTCTGTATATATATATATATATATATATATATATATATATATATATATATATATATATATATGTCGGGTGTACTGGTTGTCAACTCTTACCTTGGCAGCTTGATTCCAATACAGATTACATACAATTTCCATATCACGACTGTCAATATTTTTGCTTTTTAACATTTTTACAAGCTTTTATGTTAAACCTTATTAAACGCCTTTTCATAATCTACAAATCATAAGTACATGTCCTGATTCATATCCATTCATCTTTGAGCCAGTACATTCAAGCCGAACAAAGCATCTCTTGTGTCCATACCCTTTCTAAAGGCAAATTGTGGGTCACTAATTTCATATTCAAGAGTTTTAACAATTCTGCTGCGTGACTCATTAAAGCTATTGTTCAGTGATCTGAGCAGGATACTACACTTAACTTTTTGGGTATTGCCACAAAGGTCGATTGCAGCCATGGTCTGGAGATTGTGTCGGTCTGATATATTAGATTAAAGAGTTCAACCATTACATCAATAGCATCTTCATCAATAAGTTTTAATAATTCGATAGGCAATAGATATGCTATGTATTTCCTGACGCAACCTCTAAATCACAACCCCTAAGTATCGCAACCCCCGTTCGTAACTGCCAAATGGCTAAACGTAATATGACGTACGAGGGCTCTTTGGAAAGAGGATGAAAAATGGGGTTGAACGCAGTATGTGCCGTGTGCATCGAAGCATGCGAAAAGGGCATTATATTGTATCTACGTTTCTATTGGTCCGATCGTGACGTACGAGAGCTCGTTTGAATGGGGAGGAAACAGGAAATAAGTTAAGGCAATATAATGACTTTTGGCATGCTTCGATGCGCACGACACGTACTGCGTTCAACCCCATGTTTCATCCACTTTCCAACGAGCACTCGTACGTCATCCTACTGTAAGCCGTTTGGTAGTTACGACCGAGGGTTGCCATTTAAGGGATTGAGATTTAGGGATTGAGCCACGAAATACATGGAATATCTGCTATGACATCATCTGGTCCGGTAGCTTTGCCCTCCGGTAGTTTGTTTCTTTGATGGCATAAATGACTTCTTCCCGTAATATTGATGGTCTGGCATCGTCTGTGGTTTCCAATAATAGTTCCTCTTTTTCATTAATAAATAGGTTTTGGATGTAATTGGTTCAGTAACACAATCTTTCCTTTATATCAGTAATATTATCTCCTTTATCATTTTTAAGGATATTCGTTCTTCTGTTTTTTCTAGAAACTGTCATTTCTTCAATTTTTTGTATATATTAAAGCTATCACACTTTTGAACCAAATCTTCTGTTTCCTTGCATCTGTCGATATCCAGATCTTCTATTTCCTTGCATCTGTCAAGAGCAACCTCTCTTTTGCCTCTCGAATTTTCTTTCTGATGTTTTTCTGAATTTCTTTGTATTTATTCAGATCTTTTACTGTATGTTTCCTTCGTTTTTCCATAAGTTCAGGAATTTCTACTGTTATCCAAGGTTTTTTTTTTCAAGTGGTTTAAGGGTTTCTTTTCCAACTGACACAAGAGCACGTTTTTGATATTTTCCCCATGTTTGATCAATAGTTAGAGTTTCTGCATTATCTTATTTGACTTTCGTTAAGTTTTCAATTTTTGGTCAACTTATATGTTTACAGCATTTACAGATCACAATAGAAGGTGTTATTATAATCCACTCGATAAAATACCAAAAGAAGATAATACCGAAGTATGGGAAGATAAAAAAGGATAATCAAACAAAAAATGGAAATAATAAAGAACAAGAAGAAAACAATTAAACAGGAATTAATGCTACGATTACTCGGTTATAAAATATAACAGTGGCGAGTAGCTTTACGGAATATATTGTTCAAATTTTTCAGAACGTTTTTGTCTTGCCAGACCATCTTCAGTGAACTTAAAAGTACTAACTAAATAACCTCATCACCAAGCAGTGGGTTTATTTAAGTTACATATTAAATGCTTCGAATTATAAATTGAAACGACGTATTGTCGATGACTAAAGAATTAATTTTCCGGGAAGGCTATGGCCTCTACTCGAAACTATACGTATATCCGGCTTGGTCAGACACCAGCCAACTGATCTTAATTTTTATATGTATTTTACAACCATATGCTAACTGTTACATTATTAACCTGTTTTTTAATCATTAAGTCTCAAGAAACGCAAACGACACCACCTCCCATGGCTTCGTTTTCTGCCAATGTGCTTCAGTGGGTAATTTACGACGCGTACCAAGCAGATTACGAAGTACAAGAACAAGAAAGAGAACGGGAACGTAGAGAAAAAATGGGTCTACCACCGAAAGTGGTCGTAAAGAAAACTCCTCAACAACTTGTAGATGACATGCAAGGTAGATTGTTCGAAGCAACGAAGGTGCTTGAGAGGATGATTAATCAGAATACGTACAACGAAATGGCTAAAGGTAGAGTAGAGTATAATATTTGTTAATATTAAGTCATACATAAATAGTATAGTTAAACTAAGTAAATGCTTGATATTTTGTTGTTTTCGTCCATGTTATTATCTAATTTAAAGTTCTTTTTAGCAGGACAATGTATCAATTTCCATTGTTCTGACATATCAATATTATTTTTATCCTATAGTAGACTTAGTAGATACTAATAATATTTTACAAGTTTACTATACGATCTAGTTTATATAATATGTTTTTTACTTGTAATACATTGCCTTTATTGAACATTAAGATCATTCTGTTTCTGTTCAAGTTGTTTTAACGTCTCCGAACTGTTCTAGTAAGGATTTGACAGTTAATTATTTTATACTTTCTACCATAGACTGGTTAGCTTTTGTAGCTTGAATCACCTTGTAGCTTTTAAAATAAACTAGGTGGAGTATATTTAATTGTTTTCAATTCCTTCGTTTTAAAAAGGGTTACCCTGAAAAGTCTTGAAGATGGTGCAAAACTCACGCGAATACAACCTTAAACAATCATATCTCGTTTAATTTTTAATTTATAGAAATAGAAAAAAATCTAAATATTTAGTAAAAATTTTTGGAAAATATAATTTGGGATTGTTAGTCATGAATAACTTCAAAAATATTGTCTTTTCGAAGAAAACTCTAAAAAACATTATTGTCTTAAAAATCACTATTCTAGCGACTACCATGTTTTTTTTATAAACTTTTTCCACCCTCGAGTTGGGATGGTAACCACCTTCAGAGTAAAAGCACATATTAGCGTAGGGTAGATTTTGATTTTTGAACCACAGTCAAAATTTCAAGCAAATAAGTGTATATATGATGAAGGGATGAGAGAAAGGTGCGACGAAATGGAGGATGTAATATCTAAACACGACAAAAAACTGAAAGAAATGTGTAATATATTTAAAAAACGAGTTTCCCCTGTATTTGTTGACACTAATCACAAAATTATTGTAAATGAGCAAGAAATAAGAAAGAATGCAGAGTTGTTTGAAGATGACAGGAATAATATTGCCGAATTCTACCAAAACTGTACTGAAGGCCCAGAAATCATGAAATGCGAAGTAGAACATGCTATAAATAATGCTAAAATTAGAAAAGCTTGTGGTCCACCAACTGAGTTGCTAAAACTAATATAGAATGATAAAATAAAAGTAGTAGTAAGACTTTTTAATTCAATATATAACACCGGAGTGATTCCCGCAGATTGGCTCAAATCCATCTTTATCGCAATACCCAAAAACACAATGCGAGAAATGATCAGAATATCGATTAATTAGTCTAATGAGCCACACTCTCCAAATTTTCCTCAGAGTACTTCACAACAGAATTAGACGCAAATGTGAAGAAGATCTTGAAGATACCCAATTTTATTTTAGAAATGCTTTGGGAACCAGGGAGGCACTTTTTGCGCTTAACATCCTATTACAAAAATGCCGTGACCAAAGAAAATATGTATTTGCATGATTCGTGGACTTCGAAAAGGCATTCGATAAAGTACAGCATGTAAAATTATTGCAAATACTGAAAAATATCGGAATAGATGACAAGGATATTCGTGTCATTAAAAATTTGTACTGGAATCAAACTGCTATCGTAAAAATTGGAGATAACTACACCGATGACATCCTCATACAACGAGGAGTTAGACAAGGTTGCATTTTGTCGCCAACATTGTTGAATGTTTACTCGGACCAGTTATTTAAAACGGCACTTGAGAGACAATCATATGGAATAAAAATCAACGGAGAATTACTTAATATGATTAGATATGCAGACGATACAGTAATTCTATCAGATAATATTGAATGTCTTCAAATTCTGCTTGATCGTGTTCACGAGGTAGGAGAGGAAATGGACATTAAAATAAACTCAAACAAAACCAAATTTTTAGTTTTTAGTCGTGACCCACATCCCGATGCAAAGCTTCAATTGAACGGGAGTCCAAGTTGAGAAAGTTCACAAAATGACATATTTGGGAACTGTGATAACGGACCAACTAGATACAGACATAGAAATAAAACGTAGAATCGCAATGACTAAAACTATTTTATGAAAATGAAGTCAAAGAATAGTTAGTCAATGAATAGATCAGTTTAGAACTAAGTCAAAGAATGGTTAAGTGCTATGTTTGGTCTGTACTTTTGTATAGTGCAGAACTGTGGACGCTAAAAGTATCGATCATGAACAAAATTGAAGCATTGGAAATGTGGGTTCATAGACGAATGCTGAAGATACCTTGGACAGCAAGAAAAACTAATGAAGAAGTACTAAGGAGCGTCAACAAAGACAGAGAACTTCTAAAGACGGTTAAACATCGAAAAATGTCTTATCTGGGACATATAGTAAGGAGAAGTCGATATAAAATTTTACAACTGATCCTTAAAGGCAAAATAGAGGGCCGTAGAGGTGTAGGAAGAAAACAAGTTTCTTGGTTAAAAAACATTTGTGAATGGACTCAGATTGCAAATGCAGGACAATTATTCCATATTACAGAACATCGAGAAGCCTTCGCAATGGTGATCGCCAACGTCGGATAATTCTGATATGGCACGCGAAGAAGAAGAAGAAGGTATATATAAAAAAATTAAGGTTTACAACTTTTTTTCTCTATACTTTTTTATCTCTACTCTGAAAGAGTATTTATCGAAGCTTTGCACGAAACTGAAAAAGGTATTCTACTAAATGGTTACCAGCTAAACAACATCAGATCTGCAAATGACGCTATAATGTTTACAACTTAGAAGACAACTTAGAAGACCTACAAGTTCTTATGACAAAATCATGTATTACAGTCAACAATATGGACTCGATATAAACGTTAAGAAGACAAAGCTTATGATAATTAGCAAGAAAAGGATAACAGAAGTTCAACTCTACATCAACCAATCCCGTGTAGAAAGAGTGACGCACTACAACTACCTCGGCACCATAATAAATGAAGAATGGACCAACAACCAGGAGATTAGAGCACGCATCGGAAAAGCTAGATCCACCCTCAATCGGATGGGGGCCTTCTTTAAGAGTCGCAACCTTTCCCTTGATACAAAAGTAAGAATACTGCGATGTTACGACTTCTCTGTTCTTTTTTATGGTGTTGAATCATGGACCTTGAACGAAGATATATGCAGAAAACTGGAAGCATTTGAGATGTGGCTATATCGGAGAATACTTAAGATCCAGTGGACTGACCGAGTCACAAATGAGAAAGAGTGAACAGAAGAATAAATAAGAACCGAGAGGTACTTACCACCATCAAATTTCGAAAGTTACAATTCTTCGGACATATTATGCGAAATGAATCCAGATATGCTCTCGCTCAAGCCATCCTGCAAGAAAAAAATTCGTAAAACGAGGTTCAGGAAGAAGAAGAACATCTTGGTTAAAGAACCTCCGAATCTGGTTCAATACAACTTCTGTGCAGCTTTTTCGCGCTGCTGCAGATAAGATAAATATTGCCATGATGATCGCCAATATTCGTAACGGTTAGGCACATCAAGAAGAAAAGAATACTTTTTTTACCGTCATATACTGGACTCTGGACTATGTTAGTTAGAGGTTTTCACTCTTCTAAAAAATCTCATTGCGCAACTTTGGATTCAAGAGTCATCTCTTTGCGTCGTTACCTTGCTTTCATATACATATAATAATAATTTTGAAAACGTATTGTTTTATGCTATTTTCAGCATAATTTTCTTCCTTTTTGTTAACATTTATGTTCACTACGACTTTGTTTGTTATTTTTGCTTAAAAGTTTAATATTAACAAAGATATCAATAAATTCTCTAATGATAATGTATTTCTTTCTTCTTTTCTCTAGATTATAAATACTGGGAAGATCCGTCTGACGAATACCGCGAAGAAGAAGGAACTCTGCTTCCTCTATGGAAATTTACTTATAATAGAACAATTAAACATACTGTTACAGACTTAGAATGGAACCCGTATTATTATGACTTATTTGCAGTTTGTTTTGGATATTGTAAGTACAAATTAAACTTTTTTCTTTACCATTTAATATAAATCCTACTATAGTAGAAGCAACACTTATAATGCAGTGTTGGTCTTACGGCATGCAGCGTTGCCGCTTATGTCACTTAGTTTCAAAAATCTTTCTTCTTCTTAAGGTGCCCTATCTATTACTGAAGGTTGGCTATAACTACAGCACATTGATCTCTATCTTGAACTGCTCTTAATATCGAATGTGTGTCTATGCCTGTCCAGTCTCGTACAATTTTCAGCCAGAAGCATTTTTATCTTCCTGGACCTCTTCTTCCTTCCACCTTCCCTTTCATTATCAGTTGTAAAAAGTTGTATGTATTTTTTTCTCTGTAAATATGTCCTAGACTCGTTTTTCTAGTTTTTACAATATTTAGGAGTTCTCTCTCAGTCTCCATTATACTCTGTCCAAGAAATCTTCAGCGTCCTTCGAAAAACCCACATCTCAAAGGATTCTACACGTCTCCTACTTGTGATTTTCAATGTGGAATTAATGAATGTTTTTACAAATTGGTATCGGATATCCAACGATAAGGTAGAATTTGTTAGGGATATTTTCAATATTTTAAACTTAACAAAAACATATTTCATAGATAATATACACAATTAACAATCTTATAAATAAAAAATTGAAGAAACAAACCTCGAAATAGATCAGAATGTAGAAGAATTTTTGAACAGGTTAACACCCAAAAAGAGTTTTTAAGCCAATGTTAATTATGAATATTATTCTTTTTCCCTCGTTTTTCTACATTTCTCTCAAATTATGGAATTCTGCAATTATGTTCCATTAATCAACTACTTTCATTTCAGTGGATTACACAAAACCCATAGCAGACGGTTGCCTATGCCTATTTACTATCAAGAATCCGTCTTTTCCGGACTACATTTGTATGACTGAATCTGCCGTAATGTGTGTTGATATTCACGCTAAGTATCCGTACATGGTAGTAATTGGACTTTATGATGGCAGCGTTCAAGTATTCAATGTACAAGCAACGTGTAAAGAACCAGCCTATAAAAGCAATAGCGTAACTAATAAACATAGAGGTATAGTATGGGAGGTAACTACATTTTTTTTAATACTTACTTTAAATAACAAGTTTAGAATGTCTTTCGACATTGTCCGATACTTTACCTCCATATTTTTCCAGTCTAATTCTTGTAGTTTCCTAGTACTTATGGCTTTAGTCAAATCCTGTTTCTTACTGGTCTTTCGTCTCTCACTTTTCTGACGTTCTGTCGGTTTCGGGGCTATTTTTTGGTTAGGAAGTCTTGTTTCAGACATTCTTCACATGTGGTTATACCATATTAACTGTTTTTGTCGTTGTTACCAGTCATGGTTATTTTAATACCCATAATTTGTTTAATGGTATGCCTTCTGACTCTGTCCTCTCTTGAAATTCTAAGTGATCTTCTCAATACATCCATTTCAGCAGCTTCTAATATATTTTTAAACGTTTCTGTTAGTCTTTTATTCCCAGAGCCGTATCTACTACAAACTAGCAAACTATCTAACTACAAACTAACAAACCATTTTTTACTAAAGTATCACGTTTTATTCCTTAGAATGTCAATAAAGCAAGTGTTGGTTTTGTCGCTTTTATTATTCTTCATCATCATCATCCAGCCTTCATTTATCACGTCTACTGCTGGACATACGCCTCCCTTAAACTCTTTAAACTCCTTAAACGCAAATTTTTGTTGATACGCCTGATGTCGTCAGCCTAACGTGTAGGTGGTCTTCCTCTACTACGTTTGTCTGCTCTTGGCCTCCAATATGTAATTTTGCTCGTCCATCATGAGTCATGCATTTTACCCAAATGGCCTCCCAAATTACATTTTAGTTCGCTATGCGTTCCACAACATCAGTAATACTGGTCCTTCTTCGCAGATCTTCGTTTCTTATTCGGTCCCGCAACGTCACTCCCAGCATTGATCGTTCCATTCACTCTCAAGTTAAAGCCGTAGTCTTGGTTAGAGTCATAGTTTCCGCCCCATACGTCATGGCCGGTAATACGCATTGGTCAAATACTTTTCTTCTGAGGCGACTTGGTATGTTGGCCCCAAGTGTGTCTCGCAGTTTTCCAAAGGTTGCCCACTCTAAAGTAATTCTTATTTGCATTTCGCATGTTTGGTTATCCCTGCTAATTGTTATTTCATGACCCAAATACGTATATTTCTCCACCAGGTCTACGACTTTGTTTTGAATAGTTAAATGGTTATTGGGGACCATATTTGTCATAAACTTAGTTTTAGTCAAGTTCATTCTGAGGTCTACCTTCGAACATGCAAAGTCCAATTCATATGTGTGGCTTCTCCTAAATTATCTGTAATAAGGACAATGTCATCTGCGAAACAGAGATGGTGAAGTTTTTCGCCATCTATTGCTACTCCTCTGTGGTCTCAATTAGCCATCTTAAAGGCATACTCTAATGCCGTTATGAATAATTTCGGTGACAATGTATCTCCTTGCCTTATCCCGTGTTTGATTTTTACTGGTCGGGGTTTATCGTGTATCTTAACAGTCATAGTGACATTTTTGTAAATATTGTAAATAAGTTCATTATACCTATTGTCGATCCTGATGTCATTCATTTCTTCTATAAGGCTGTCTATTTCGATCGTGTCGAACGCTTTATGAAAATCTATAAAAGTGGATCACCTCCATAGAGTAACTGATAACTGGTACCAACGATAGTTGTTATTCTTAATTACGAAAATATTAATTTCGATTTTATTCGAAACATCAATATTTGTATGATCCTAGAAAAACTGACTTCGACGGTAATGTATAGCCAGATTAACATTCTACAAGATTTTTTGGTAAGACGTGGGCTTAAAACCATTTCTGTTGATTCTTTTCTACCTCCATTCGTGGCCAGCAATTTATTTGATGTTATCGGACCATTTGGTTTGGACTGCGATACTATTTTCTTGCTCGTCATTCAAAAATTAGCTGTGTCGATTCATCGTGTTGTCTGTCATTCTTCTCATATGTATATCATCTCAAAATATGATCAAAATGTAAACAAACATCGGTGTATGCTACGTTGCAGAAAGTGCAAGTATTGATCTTGACTAGAACTACAGAGACAATGTCAATAAAGCAGCTAAGTAGAGGGAGTAAAAATTAACTATAAAGAGATGTCGAGCTAAAGATGAAAACAATCCAAAAAAATTACAAAAGAACTTAAAAACGGCTTCGGTCAACAAAAAAATTAACAATACACTAACAAAAACCTTCGAAATCCAACAAAAACAAAAAACTCTGGCACGTAGGGCCCAAACTCTTGAGCAACAAGTCTCCGAACCGGAAGTAGTCGTAAGTAGTAGGAACAAGGAAGCAATTTGAGTTCCGCGGATAAGTCACTATAGGATAACAGGAATAAAATGCGTCAGGCTGTTCTGCATTTATAACCTATTAGGAAAAAGAGCTCCAGGACAAAGAAGAATATCCTGGCTTGTTAATCTGAGAGCATGGTATAGAAAGACCTCAACACAGTTATTTCGTATAGCAACCAACCAAGTCATCATAGCCAGAATGATCGCCAAAGTTTGTAACGGACAGGCACTCTAAGAAGGGAACCATCTTGCAGTTCTATTACCCAGGGCTCCCACATATAGAGCATTTGGACTGAATCAGAGTGCTATAGGGGGGAAAGGGATGGGCTGGAGCATTGGAGTGATTCCTGTTTTTGACTCAAGTCAATACACCTCGCTTCAATGAATTGGTCCACCCGAACGTAATTCTTAGTGTTAAACATGGTAAACATGTCTCACAGGCTGGGTTTAATTAAATCACTTGCTAAGACAATCGGCCTGATGTGCTAATTCCCAAAAAGTGAATTGCAATTTTCTGTTCAAATCACGTAACAATAGTTTACTGATAAACATATTGAAAAATAGGTATAGGAAATATCATATACATATAGAGGAAGAAAAACAATAACTTCATTTATGTTTAACTTTTTATTGCTATTTAGGTAAAATGGGCACCTGATTTACCTGATGGCGAACTCAACTTCTTCTCAGTGGCAGGGGACGGAAAAATAAACAATTGGGTACTAATGCAAAATGACCTGTCCGTTACTACTATAACAACATTATATTTAGACCAAGCTCCGGTACCTGGACCTGATGGAACGATGCTCAAAGTTAAAGGTAAACTTCACTTTATTTAATATTGAGATAAAGAGTCTTTAAGTTCAATTAAGTATATGCAAAGGTCTTATAAAATCTGTAAAAAATTTTAATGTTTCTATAAAAATTTACATTGGAATTTGATGAAATCTTTCTTTATTTGTCTTCCTTATCTTATACAAAGTTCGAAGGCAATAGAAAAGGGTTTTTACTCTTATTTTTATTGGATCTTGTTACTTCGAATCTAATGATCGATTAGCGATGTGCCCCTAAAGTCTACACAAAATCAAAATATAATTGAAAATTCTCAGCCAATTTTTTATTTGATGCACATTTATAAACTGTTCATATACTTTGTATATGAGTATGTTGTATATATATTTATATTTGGACAGATCTCCAAATCCAGATGTCCATTTTCAATTTAGACTTTTGTCTGAAAATGAAAAATCAAATTGTTTCCGTCACTTTTCCCTATATTTCGCCCGTTTTTTTCTTTTATTTCGTCTCTTTCGCTCAAGCAATTTCTGAATAAATTCAATTAATGAATAGCAGTTCCCACTTGATGTTTTTAATTACCAAATCCTGTGATTTGCAGACTTAATGATGATAATCCCCAATTTATTAGTATTTTTTTTTAATTTTTAGAATATTTTTACAATACAATACGGATTAATTCGCAGTAATAATGATTTTTTATAATAAATTGTTAAATATAAGTTTTGCTATTATTTTATAACATTTGTTTTAAACAACTAATATGATAAATTGTACAAAATAGGAAAAATACGGTGAAGTAATGGCCATGCCGTCAGGGTCTCTGATGCGGATAAACAGAACTTTAACCTTGCGATTTCTAAGAAGTAGGCTGCACTGTCTTGTGCGGCTTGCATCCAGTTATTGCTAACACGCTGCAGATCGTCAAGAAATCTAGTTGGTGATCGTCCTCTGCTCCGTATTGCTTCTTGTCATGGTCTTCGCTTGACAATAAATTTTGTTCATCGGTTGTTTGATAATCTGGCGACGTGTCCTGCAAAATTCCATTTTAGCGACGCGATTTTTTCTACGACGTATTTCTTCGTTTGGGATTCGGTCCCTCGGAGAGACACCCAACATCTGGCGCAAAGCCGTCTGAGACAAGCGAATCTTATTCACTACCTTTTTGTGAGTGTTAATGTTTTCGCTCCATAAGTGAGTATAGATAACACACATTGATCAAAGATTTTCCTTTTGATATATATGGGTAGATCCGATTTAAAAACATAGTTTAATTTACCAAATACTGCCCAAGCTCATCCTATGCGACCTGGGAGCTCACGTCTGGTTATCTCTGCCCAACCGAATTACATGTCCTAAGTACTTATACGATGTAGTCTGCACAATGTCCCTTCTAATAGCAATATTTTGATTTAACACCAGATTAGTCATTATTTGTGTCTTATTCATATTAATCTTTAGTCCAACTTCCAAGGAAGCGTGATATAATTTTTCAAACCTTATTATTGTATCATCCATTCGATCGGCTATAAGAACTATGTCATTTGCAAATCTTAAATGGCTGGTCTTCTCTCCATTTATGTTAATACCATGCTGGTTTAGATGTGCCTTCTTACAAGTATATTCTAAAAGCTTCGTGATTAGCTTTAGAGAGACGGTGTCCCCTTGCAGTACTCCTCGCTATATATAAAATGTATTTGTTTCTTCAGATAGTCTTAAGCTAGCTGTGGCATTTTGGTAGATATACAGGGTGAGTGGGGAGGAACGCACCAAACTTTAAGACTGTATAATATACGTAAAAATAAGTAAAAATAACTCAGATGTTGTTATTCTATTTTCATTTGTTTTCGAGTTATAGCGATAATAACACAAAGTTGTAACTTAACATTAATTTAATGTTAAATGTTCTTATAATAAATTTTCAAAAATACCACCATTGACCTGTAAGCATTTTCTGCTTCGTCTATGAACATTCAACGTTGCTCTTCTGATTGCGTCATGGTTAGCTCTAATTGTGGCTGCAACATTTTTAATGCGTCGAATTAGTGCATCGCGAGTGTCGACTTTTACCTTGTAAACTTCATTTTTAAACCAGCCCATAAAAAATAGTCTAATGGTGTTAGGTCTGGAGACCTCGGAGGCCAACTAATAGACCATTGCGACCAATCCAACGCCTTAGAAATTTTGTATTTAAATGTTGCCTGACCTGACGAGCAAAATGTGCAGGAGCTCCAGCGTGCTGATAATACATTTGCATTCTGATATTTAGTGGAATGTTCTGTAGGAGTCCTGGCAATTCATTCTGTAAAAAATTCAAGTACTCCTCTCCTGTAAAGCGGTTCTCAAATATGAAAGGGCCAATTAAATAACCGTCGATCACACCACACCACACGTTTACCGAAAATTTGTGCTGAAAACTAGCTTCAATTGTTGCATGTGGTTTTTCATCTGACCATACATGTGAGTTGCGGCTATTATTAATACCGTCTCTGGTGAATGTTGCTTCATCGGTAAAAAGTATGCGGGATATAACACGACGATTATTATTTATCCATCGACAAAATTGCATACGGCTGGCATAATCTTCTGGTTGTAGGTGCTGTACACGTTGTAGGTGGTATGGATATAAACCTTGCTCGTGAAGTGTGTTAATTACTCTCGTTTGAGGAATGGCTAAATGAGTACCGATTCTTTGTGAGCTGATCCCTGGATCATCTTCTACTGAATCCAGAATATTTTGTATTTCTTGTAAACTTTGTCTGGGAGCACGTTCCGATATTATTTTATAACTAGGAAGCGTTCCGGTCTCGCATAGTTTGTTGAAAACTCTAATAAATACATTTTTATCTGGAGTTCTCCGATTTGGAAACCGTTGACGATATTCTTCAATAGCAGCTCTACCATTTTTATTACAAAAGCCATAAACAAACACCATATTTGCATAATCACTATTTGAATAAGTATGTGTCATTTTGCAACAACTTTTTTTATACAAACTGTCAAATAGACATTAAATCACGTTGACACTACACTATTATGACAGTTAACTAATTAAAGTTAAAGTTAAGTTAATTAAACTAATTATTAAACGAATCACAGATACCTGTTACAGCAATGTGATAAGTAGCAGTAAAATTACAACTTTGTGTTATTATCGCTATATCTCGAAAACAAATGAAAATCGAATAACAACATATGAGTTATTTTTACTTATTTTTACGTATATTATACAGTCTTAAAGTTTGGTGCGTTCCTCCCCACTCACCCTGTATATTTGATGATGTTGTGCATTGATATAGTCTAGCAATGGTCTATTCAGCATTCTGACAATGCTTTTAACATTTTCTGATGGTTTATGGTATCGAATGCTTTCTAGTAGTCGACAAATATCAGTGCCAATGGTTTGTAGTTATGTAATAAAATAATGATTGCATTGTTTCATTGAGAAGAATTTTTCCTTTGATCGCTTCGATCATCATCTCCAGGGAGTTTGTTATTTTTTATTTCTAAAAGTGCCGTTTTGATTTCGTATGGAGTTATTTCTGGCAATAATTCTGATCGCAGGTTTATGATTTAGGACAGGGGCTGATCATACATTTCGCGATAAAAGGATTATTTTGACAACCTCAAGGTTTTTGGTTCTATCAGTAGTAATGTTTCCATCTTTGTTTAGAATGATTTGAATGAGTTTAAAAAAGTAGTCTCTTATCGCTAAACCGTAGGTTGAGTGCATAATTTACTTATTACTTGATCTCTTCTTCTTCTGCGCATAATTATACAGTGTCTCAGAAGAGTGATGGTCATTGACCAGAGTCAATGGGTGAAGAAATACAAGAAGTGGTCCATAATGGCCATCTCTTCTTCTTATTAAATTTTTAAAGGACGATCTAAATAAATTTGTGAGTATTAAGATTTGGAAAATGTTTAATAAACGTGTTGGTGAGACAAAAAATAAATTATTTGTATATGAAAAAATTAAATAAATCTCTTTTGACAAGAAGATCTAGCGATAAACGACCACTTCTTACAACCCTCTAATCATTATTAATCACTTTTTGTACTTCTTAAAAATATCTAGGTCAGAGGAGACACTTCTAGTCATCGGCATCGGAGACCCTGATGGCAAGGTTACCAAATTGATTCAGAACCAAACTTGCTCTATCTTCCTCTTATAATTATCTTAAGGCCAGAGGCTCTGCGACTAACTTTTTAATGTCGTAATAATGTCTTGTTTCTTCGCTGCAATTTATGAATTAATCTGAAGTTGTATCAATTAAACTGCTACTTTTAAAAAATTTAAATTATTTTATTCGTTGTAGCATGTGCAAGTTGCGTGAAAATTCATCCCAATAAACCACAAATTTATCTAGTAGGAACCGAAGAAGGACTAATTTTCAAGTGTAGCGTGGCGTATAGTTCGATGTATCTCTTGACATACAAGGCACACCAGCTACCAGTTTACAGGATAGACTTTAATAGATATAATACGGATATCTTTATATCTTGTAGTTCGGATTGGAGAGTAAAAGTATGGGAAGACAATAGACTGTAAGTTAGGAAGGGTATTTATAAAATAATTTTTATAGAAATAATTAACCTTGCGTTGTTGTGGTCAGGTATGACACATATACCACGCGTGAAAAAGAATGGAACTTTTCTCAAAAACAGCATCGTACTGCCCACTATTGTTCAGTAGCTGATACTCTATAGATGTGAGAATACTGTGATATATATTTATATTGTTCTAGTTTATTTGTCTTTATTCTAATTTATTGTCTATATTCTAATTTATTAAAACTCACGATAACTAATTACTAATTTATTAAATAGCTTATTAAATACAAATTTATTTGTTACGTTTCGTTACATTTAAATATCGCGGTTTCCCGATCTTCTTATGACTGACCCCTTAATGAAAGTTTTCCGTTATTTATATAATTCCAAGCCTGTAAACAGAAAGGTGTAGAAAATACCATGATGTTCTCGATGTAGACACAGCGGCGCCTGGTCTCAAAACTGGTATGTTTTTTTTATCGGCTTGTCGTCCCCAGAACATTCGATTGTTGTTTGTTTAGCGAAGGGGACCCAAATGATGTCAGGTATATTTTTGACCTAGAAATTACGAGAATCAATACAAAAGAATTAGTCATAAAATATTTACAGTTCTATACGCCATAACATTTAAAATCGTAACATTGCCCCCCTCTTAAAAGATGGTTCCTCCTGGAACCTTGTCAGGACTGGAACTGGAACGACATGCTGATATCGGCAACTGGACCCTCTTTTACAACTTCCAGTTGTATAGAAATGACAAGGGACGATTTTCTCTCCGCACCAGTAACTATGCGGATTGCAACAGACTAACACCTGGACTTCGGTGTCTTTAAAGATTTCCTCCACCATGTTTCGTATAACCCTCCAATCTAATTGGCGGCACTCCAACTTTGGCATGGCTAACTTTTGCACGTCGGACTCTAGTACGTGCTCTCTCAACTGAAGTAAGGCTTCCCATACATCTCGGTAGGTAGGTTGGTCACGGGCAGTGTCTTTTGTTACCAGGTAGAAAAGGTAACGTAATGCATCTTGAAGTTTCAAGGTTTTACCAAGAGCTGGCACTTGGCATTGAAGTTCTGCAACCCGACCAAACTTCCTTCGAAAGACGGATGCCAACCCTGGTGCATCTTTGATACTGGCCGGGATGGTAAGGGCCAGTGAGTAGTCATTGGGAAGCGCGAGTAGATCTTGCCTTTCTTCAGTGGTAACACCATGTCTTGCTTTACCGGTACCTCCATAGGCACCCATGAATTCCTCAAACGTGAGGTCAGACACATCTTGGACTTGGTTTACTTCCACTTCTTCATCTACGTCGTGGTCACCTTCGAAAGACGCCAACCGGTTATGGTGTACTATCATCGGCTTTCCTCTCGGAATCTTGCTTATTCGGTAAATAACATCATTGATCTTCTCCATAATGAGGTATGGACCTTCCCAAAACTGCTGCAATTTGGGAGAACAACCTTTTCGCTTTTTGGGGTTATAAAGCCAGACTTTATCGTTCTTCTTAAAACACCCCTTTTCGGCTTGTGTATCGTACCGTTTCTTCATTCGGTCACTAGCGATTTGGAGATGGGAACGGACCAACTCGTGTACATCGTCCATTCTTCTTCGTAATTCGATCACATAATCTTCACCTGCTACATCTTCTCCAGGTCGACACCCAAACTCTAGATCACAAGGTAGTCGCATCTCGCGTCCGAATAGGACTCTGGCTGGTGTCTGGCCTGTTGATTCATTAACAGCAGATCTGTAGGCCATTGTGAAGAACGGAAGATATTGGTCCCAGTCTCGCTGATGATCGGATACCATCTTTGTCAAATACTTGCCAACTGTTCTATTCATTCGTTCTACCATACCATCCGATTGCGGATGATAAGCCGTAGTTCTTGTTTTCTTCATACCTAGTCTATCACATATTCCTTGGAATAAATCGCTTTCGAAGTTCCTGCCTTGGTCACTATGGATCTCCAAAGGCACTCCAAATCGGCTGATATATTCTTGGATCAACTTATCTGCAACGGTGGCGGCCTTCTGGTCTGGAAGTGCGTAAATCTCGACCCACTTAGTGAAGTAATCCATTACTACCAACATGTACTTGCCTCCATTATCACTTTCTGGAAATGGCCCAGCAATGTCCAAAGCTATTCTTTCAAACGGGCTTCCAACATTATATTGTCTCATAGGAGCTCTCCTTTTTCGATAAGGCCCGTTACTCGTAGCACAAATAGTACATTTCTTACACCAGTCTTTTACATCGTCGGAACTGTTCATCCAATAAAACCGTTCCCGAATTCGCTGAAGGGTCTTTTTCACACCAAAATGCCCTCCTGATGGACTGTCGTGTAACTGACGAAGTACTTCGGCTATTCTGCTCTTTGGAATCACCAACTGTCTTCTCTTCTCTGAACCGTCATCATTTTCCAGGACTCGTTTGAGCAAGCCATCTTCCATGATAAATGAGTCCCACTGGGCCCAATACGTCTTAACTATTGAGCCTAGGTTCGATATTTCTTGCCAAGGTGGTCGACGGTTTTCCTCCTTCCATTTTCGGATTTTCTGTATAACTGGATCTCTCTCTTGTTCTTCCCTGATCTTGGTAGGCGTCCAGTCGTCGTGGACCACCGTCGTTCTTAGCACTGCTGCTTCCTTGGATTCCGTTTTGTTGCAGTGAGAACACTCTGCTGGGCATGGCCTTCTGGAAAGAGAGTCGGCGTTTCGGTGGCTAACTCCGGCCCGGTGCTCAATCTTAAAATCATATTCTTGGAGTCGTTCGATCCACCTGGCTATCTGACCCTCTGGATTCTTAAACTGCATCAACCACTTAAGGGCGGCATGGTCGGTTCGGATTAAAAACTTCCTTCCATAGAGGTATTGATAGAAGTGCTCTACTGATTTCACTACTGCCAGAAGTTCTCTTCTCGTGACGCAATAATTCCGCTCAGGTTTTGAGAGAACTTTACTGAAATATCCAAGGACTCTTTCCTGTCCTCCCTGAATCTGAGACAGCACTCCTCCAATTCCCACATTACTTGCATCTGTATCTAAGATGAACTCTCCTTCTGGCAGTGGATACCCTAAAATTGGTGCTGTGATTAAATGCTTTTTTAAGGTCTCAAAGGCATTTTGGCAGTCTACATCCCAGCGGTATTCTCTTGCTTCCTCTGTAAGTCGCGTTAATGGTTTAGCGATATCTGCAAACTTCTTAATAAACCTCCGGTAATAAGTACATAGTCCAAGAAAACTTCTCACTTGATGTTTGTCAGTTGGTTTTGGCCATTCCTTAATGGAATCGATTTTTCCCTTATCCACGGCCACTCCTTCTTTACTGACTATATGACCCAGATAATTGACTTTACCTTGAAATAGCTGGCACTTCTTGGGGTTTAACATCAATTGGGCAGCTTTAAGTCGATTAAAAACATTTTCTAAATTCTTCAGATGGTCTTCAAATGTCTCCCCCAAGACGATTATGTCGTCTAGATAAACTAGGCATGTTTTCCAAGATAACCCTCTCAGCACATTTTCCATAAGCCTCTCAAATGTCGCAGGAGCGTTACAAAGTCCAAATGGCATAACGTTGAATTGCCATAATCCAGATCCTGTGGTGAAGGCTGTCTTTTCTTTATCTACCGGGTCCATTTCTACCTGCCAGTATCCAGACTTCAAATCCAAAGTAGAAAATAATTTACTTCCAGCCAATGTGTCTAATGTGTCATCAATCCGAGGCAGAGGATAACTATCTTTCTTGGTAACGTTGTTCAGCAAACGGTAATCCACACAGAACCTCGTTGTTCCGTCTTTCTTCTTAACCAGGACTACCGGAGAGACCCATGGGCTCGTAGAAGGTTCTATCACCCCGTCTTTCTTCATTTCCTGAACAATCGTTTCAGCTTCCTCTCTTTTCGCCTGTGGTAATCGTCGAGCTGTTTGACGAATTGGCTTAGCATTACCAGTATCAATTCTATGCTTAACAACGGTAGTTCTTCCCGTCTTTCCTCCTTTCGGTACGAAAATATCACGATACTGCCGAAGAAATTCCCTTAATTTCCTTTTCTCAATCTGATTCAGAGACTGTCCAGCAACTGCAACCATTTGATCAAATTTGTCGTTGGAATTATCAGACGTTGTCGTCTGACGGATTATGGATGTCACAGGTACACAAGTTCCTACTTTTGTCTCTTTCTTGACGGTCACTGGGTAGTCATTGACATTGATAAGTCTAACAGGAATTTCTTTAGCCGAGGTCACCAATTCCTTTCCAATTATGATTCCACGGCCAACTTCGTCGTCATGGTTCCAAGGCTCCATCATAACAGGTGTCCCTTCGTCCACAATTCCCTGTAGCCGCGCTACTATTATCGTTTCACTTCTCGCAGGCACGACTGTATCTTCTTTAACGGCTGCTTGCATAGTGTTGTCATCATGTGGATGGAGAAATACCTCCTCGCTACCAACTTTGATTACCTTATTCTTAAAATCCAATTGGAATCCATGCGTATTCATTACGTCCATTCCTAATATAACATCCTCTTCGATGTCAGCAACTATAACAGTATGGACGAACTTTTCTGCTCCAATTCCTAATTGTACCTGGATTTCTCCATGAATGTTGGCATTTTCACCTGTGGCGGTCCGAAGTCGCAACCTCGTTGGTAACAGTTTCTTTCGGCTGTTTATAACTGTCGGGCGTATAATGGTTCTGGTCGCTCCAGTATCCACCAACAACGTATGCTTTTTACCATTTATTTCTCCATCTACATATACACTATCTTCACGACATTTCAAAGAAGCTATTAGTATCAGAGGGTCTTTGGTAAAGTTCTGGGTCGAAGCTGCTCCCCTAAGGCCGACGCGTTCTGGTTTTGTCTTCGGTCTTATGGTCTTCGTTTTCTTGTGTGTCATGCTTTTTATCATATTAAAGAGCTGGTCAAGTTTATCTTCGTCTCCTTCCTCTTTTACAGTTCTAACTTTACTGTACCCGCCAGAGGCTAGCGTAGCTGACTCGTATTCGAGGGCGGCAGATAAGACATCCATCAGCGTCTTGTGACGAGCTAATCGTAGTGTTCTTTGCATCTCATGATCACGAAGACCATCAATAAACGTTTGAACGGCCAACTTTTCCATCATGTCTTCGGGAGCTGTTGGATAAGCATATCGCACTAATCTGGCGATATCTACTTCATATTCTTGAAGAGCCTCATCTTTCTTTTGTCTTCGATTTTTGAGCTGCGACTGATATACATGCTCCAAGTGTTCGTGGCCATATCGCATATTTAACCTCTTCTTCAGTTGTTCGAAATCATCCGTCTCCTCTACGGCTATGGTCTGGAGCACATCTAAGGCATCTCCTCGAAGAGCTATAGTCAGGTTTACAGCCTTTTCTTTTTCTGACCATCCATTCGCTCTTGCAGCTGATTCGAACTGTTTCATGTAGTTGTTCCATGACGATTTTCCGTCGAAAGTTGGAACTTTGACATGAACATAACCTCCGCTTCCTTCAAATTTCGGCCGTGTTTCCGACTTACATTTCGTCTCGTCTTCTTTTATCTCTACCGGATCTAAAGCTACCGTATTAATTGGTGGTAGCACTCTCGTGTTAGTTATCATGGTCTCTAACTGTTTGATTTTCTCTTCAACTTTATCAAATGTTTTAGAGACTTCTTCAAACTTCTCACTATTCTGAATACATACTTCGTCGAATCTTCTAGACATATTTTCAAATTTCTCGTCGTTTTGTCTAGCTGTTTCTTTAATAATTTGAGAAGTTTCTTCGATCATTTGAGACGTTTCATCGAATCTTTTGGAAACAGTCTCGAATTTTCCATCAATTATTTTCGTTAAAACGGCTTCTTCTGCTGACTGGAACTGGAATGTCTCTGGGTCGTCTCCATTCTTGTTGATAACAGTCTTCAGTCGTTCTTGGAGGATCTTCTTGGACCCGCTGCAGTCTTCATCGCGTTCTTCTAGTTGCTCACGCAACTGTTTCACTGAAAGTTCTACTAGCAGCATCTTTGGTCAAGCACACACGTACTTTTTTAAATGTTCTTTCGTACAACGATCTCTACCGAAATACGCGGATGTTCCCGATGAACAATAATTTTCAAAAGTTCAAAAGTCTTTTCAAGAATTCAAAAGTCTTTTTCAAAAATCACTGTTTGATTTATATTCAAATCCCACACCGACACCACTGTGATATATATTTATATTGTTCTAGTTTATTTGTCTTTATTCTAATTTATTGTCTATATTCTAATTTATTAAAACTCACGATAACTAATTACTAATTTATTAAATAGCTTATTAAATACAAATTTATTTGTTACGTTTCGTTACATTTAAATATCGCGGTTTCCCGATCTTCTTATGACTAACCCCTTAATGAAAGTTTTCCGTTATTTATATAATTCCAAGCCTGTAAACAGAAAGGTGTAGAAAATACCATGATGTTCTCGATGTAGACACAGCGGCGCCTGGTCTCAAAACTGGTATGTTTTTTTTATCGGCTTGTCGTCCCCAGAACATTCGATTGTTGTTTGTTTAGCGAAGGGGACCCAAATGATGTCAGGTATATTTTTGACCTAGAAATTACGAGAATCAATACAAAAGAATTAGTCATAAAATATTTACAGTTCTATACGCCATAACATTTAAAATCGTAACAATACCATCGAGCAAAAAGGCAAAAGAGGTAATCTAATCGTTATAAAAAGGAGACCAAAAAAGTGGCATCTGATGGCGGACATATCCGGAAATGCGAATGAGCCAAATTTAAATTTTTCGACACTTATTAACAGTAGCTATAAAATAGTTTTCAGAATGTGTCTTAGACGAGAAAGTTTTAATTAAATATTAACGATAACAGTATAAAATGTGAAACAATTGTTAAAAAACTTCAATATAAATAAGATTTCATGTGACAGTTGAGACAAACAATATAACATAACCCAACTAAATTTGATTTCTTAAACAAAGAAAGACTCTCTTTCCTTGTCTAATTTGTCCTCTCAAGATGGCACTTCCTGTCTAACAATATTTTTTACTTTTGTCTTTTTGCTCGATGGAGAATACATACATCTTCATCTTTATCCTTATACAGATAAAGTCATTTCATAAAGTTACTTTAACTGTTACTGAAACGACTTTATCTGTATAAGGACTCAGTAAGTTATTCAGATAAAGTAACAGTTTGTGTGCTATTATCTAGCACTGCTCTGCATTGATGAGAAGTGTCCAAAAATTTTGACATAAGAAAGGCGAAGCTACTTAATTATAAGAAACTATTTTATTCTCAATAAAATCTATTAAAACCTTTTCTATTAAAAAAAGATTTTTCACAGAAAAGAGAAGCATGCTGGCTGTTATTTGCTACCTGCTTTATGTGGCAAAGAAATGTTCTCAAAAATCTCGAATTTTCAAATTGAATTTAAATAACAAATTTTGTTTTTCGGTTTTTATGTTTATGGCTTTTTTCCCATAACTGATTGAAAAACAGTTCATTTTAATAACATTTTTGTCTTTATATTTTAGAGAACCTTTATTTGTCTTCGACGTTGGTGATAGAGTAGGCGATGTTAAATGGGCACCTTATTCTTCTACAGTTTTTGCATGTGTCACATCAGAAGGAAAGGTTTGCGTCTACGATTTAAATGTCAACAAATATAAGCCGATATGTGTACAAGCAATCGTTTCAAAGAAGAAAAACAAAATTACGCGACTTTCCTTTAACTACAAATCTCCAATAATCGTGATAGGGGACGACAAGTAAGTTTTGTATATTTATATTTAATGTGCTCATAAAGGGCTAATATAATATTAGGCGTTAAATTAATCGGCAAATAGATGACGAAAGTTTAAAATGAGATACGCCACTGCGTGTTGAATTGTAATAAATTTTTTAATATCACTTGTTTTAGTAAACCTTATTGTTTGTTTCAGGGGATGTGTAACAACAGTAAAACTATCGCCGAATCTAAGAATACCGTGTAAAGCACCGAAAAAACAACAGCATCTGGATCAATGGACTTTACAATGTATGAAACTAGATCGATTGTTGTCGCTAGTAAGAGAACCCGTTACTTTAACCATACCACCTGATACGGCTGGATCAGAAGAACAGTAGTATATGTAACTTTTAGCTAAATATATTAAATATAAAATAAATATTTTTGAAAAGATATTTTTTGTTTCCTTGTATTTTCAACGCTCCTTTATGATATCGTTTCTTTGGAAGTTAATACTAACAACTACATAATTACTTGCTGCTGCGAATTGTGATACCCGACAACACCCGATTGAGACATGAAGATACGTAAGCTTGATGGCCGCTATCTTGAAAAATGAGCCAGAACCCGCTTTGTATATCTACTTTAAATTTTCAGTTTAGAAAAATTCACATTACCGTCACTCTACACTTAAATAAACGTGATTTATCCTTTTTTTTTTTCATAAGATGTAAATCAGTAACTACCGTAAAATGGGGTGAATAGAAACAGTGGGGTGAATAGTAACAAAACTTCCAAAATAGCTTTATTTCAAGTTTCAGGGGGTAAAAGTAGTGGTAATATTGGAAAATTTCTGGTAGCAAGTTGATAACAGTCTAAATTTGAAGGAAAAAATAAGTTTATGTGGTTGGCAGCATTGAGAGTCATTTATTGCAAGAATAACACGTTTTGGTTTAAGCAGATATTTCTTCATCTTCTAAACTTCTTGTGCTTGTACTTGTTCGTTTACTAAGGCATTTTCATTTATTGTAATTTTTGGTCAATGTTTCAGTCATAAAAAAATACAAAAATCATAAAATTTAAATTTTTATTTCAACATTAAATAAAGATCTACATATTTCCATAACACGAATTAAATGAGCATCTATAAAAGCAGTTTTGGCACATATTTTATATGTACAATGAGGTAAACAAATATATTTAGACCATACACGATACAATAGAAAAATAAAACACAAAATAAAACCATAAAAAAAGGTTTAGGAATGCCTTCATGTTTCTTATGGTACTAACTTTTTAATATTTGCAAAATATATGGGTGTAGGGTAAAATCAGTTTTGAATAGAATATTTTTAATATGATTACTATAGACGAAGAATTTATTTAGATCTTTCTTTATTAGTTTTCTTTATATTTTTTATACAGTTGATACTTTTAGTACATTACCGTAACATTTCCGTCAAAGCATTTCAAGTAGTATGATAGATTTGCTACCATCCAGTGAGAGTAAATTTTGTGCTATGTCAACTGCACTTAGTTGGCAGTGAATAAAGTAATTTTTTATGTATTTTAAATGAAAAATAGAAATAAAAGTTTTGCTCGCTATTGCTAACTTATTTGATAGTGGTCTTCCGAGCAAGCAAGGGATAGATTTGCTTAATTAAAAGAAGTGAATTCACATTAATGAAGTAATCTTAAAACAACTCTATTTTCACTTTATTTATTGCTGCTCTAAAGACCCCAATGGTATAGCGTGAGAACCACTTTACAACCAACATTTTTCTGTAGCACCACATCTCACAAACCTGCAGTAATTTAAGCTATGTTAGCCATAGATTTAAGCCATAAATAAGAACCGAAAACAAATAGCAAAGAAGGCGGTGAATGATCCCACTGATCGTTAGCTGGTAACTTGTATTATTGACTGTAAAAATATCATGTAATTGATTTTATTGATTGATTCTTTTTCTACAAATGCCATCTTCAATACGAAGGTTGGCGAACTTGGTTATTTTAACGCTCAAGGGCTGCTTAGAACAGTTAGACAGAACTGTAACAGTACCATTCATCAACTATTTCTCCTTCCAATATTGCGCTGGATCTGAATATTTCCTTACAGTTGTATTTATCTTCACTTTAAAATATACTATTTTTGTTTGTTCAACATTTGAAGTATTTCGTAACCTTGAGTTATTCCATCATTCCAAAAGATTTGAAAGATTCTTCGATATCTCTTACATTTAAGCATTTAAACCTTTTTTTTAATGAAGCAAACTTATTTTGTTAATAAAGAGCATGGGAATATGTTTTTACTTTTACAAAATAACCCAAAATTAATTAATAAATCTACCAGACAGTTGTACCTGAATTCAGTAAGTAGAGTATAGTTACAAAATTTGATTGCTTGAGCATTTATGTAAACACAAAAACAAACTGATTGATTGTTCTATTTTACTAAAACACCGTGCATTTAACAATAACAAAATATTCTACTAGAAAATTTAAATCTAACTTGTATGTAATAAGTAATTCTGTTATTTGGCACAAAATGATTAAACTGTGATCGCTAAATTTTCCAAAGATTACTGTTAACTAGTACAACATCAACACCACTGGCCATCAACTGATTAACTGTATGTATATCAAATTTATTCCGTTGACTAATCAAGTAGTTCTAGAAAAATTATTATCATGAGTAATATCGTTGATTGAATAATCCAAACTAAAAAATTTGGATTATTCAATCAACGGTAATATTGAATGGTGTGAAGATTTTTTACGAATTTTCACCGCTTAACATTACTGACATCTACAATCACTATTGGTAAGTTCATGTATCATTCTGGCTAAGATGTAGTGTTAGGGTATCTTCTTGTAATTGTGTGGTATTAAAATGGGCATAGAAAAGATAATCGATTAAAACATTTGTTCAATTTATTTTAGACTTGTTAATCCTGAAAAATCAAACTCAGAAAATTAAGATTTATTACAATGACGACGGTGTATATAAGAAATATAGTTAGAAGATATAAAATTACAGGTTGAGTCGCCATAAAGCCTAGGACACCGATAGAAGATCATTAAGAAGAATTATTGAAAAAAATCGACGTTCAAATTATCTTGGGGAAAGTGTTCTGTGGAGTGATACTGTTACAAAAGGAATTTCTAGATCCACCTGTTACACAAAAAACTCACAGGTTGGCATTTAGCAGATACAAAGTAAGGTATTTCGTTAAAGTGAATAAAAGCGTATTAAGAATTTTCAATTTTGTTGTAAGCTGAAAGAAAGTTAAAAGTCTAGAAACAAATTGAAATTTCAAAACAGAATAAACAAAAAATGTAGCGTTTCTACAGCCAACATATGAGTCAGTGGTGCTAACCAGTTGCATTGCCTTTGTATACGTTAACAACGAAGTGGTGCAAATTTAGCGAAGACATGTCGTTAGAATGCTTATTACATATTACAACCTTAAGTTACTATACTAAAGATATCGCTAATATCATTTTTGGAAGGAAGTTTAGTATCGAATTTGAAAAAGATTAAAATATAGCATTACATGCATTATTTATCCTAATAAAATAGTACCTTTCTTTTATAAATATACAAGAGGTATCTACAAGATCTGTCATCACTAATTGGACATCACATAAAGGAGATAGGTTCCATAAAAATGCTTTAGCAAAATGCTGTTTTACATTCTACATGGTTTTTCGTTAATTGTTTTTATAATTTTAACATTTATACAAAGAAATTATAATTGGCCCTACTATTTCTTCTATACAGGATGATACATGCACGTTCTCAGAAAAAAATTAAACCTGATTGAAACACACTGTAAATGAGCTCAAAGGCTTTATTTGGACATCACCTATCACCCATTAACTAATGTCTAATTAATCTTGGTCACCATGTATACCAAACTATCTACTTTCATTGAAGCTTTGTTTTATTTAACATATATAGGCCTTGCTTTATTTTGTTTTATATTTTAAACTGAACCAAGTTCAGAATTTCGGCAGCCCGATAGTTATAGTATCGTTTAAGTACGAGATTTTGGTCCTTTTAGGAAATATAGAGAATGTACTGTATTATAACTGCTATCAAATCAATTTCAACTTTAAAATTTCCCTTCTGAGAAGGAATTAGTTTCGCGACTTTCGTAACCAGAAAAAAATGAGACAAAGTCAAGTTACAAGGTTCTTTGTAAAGACACTTTTGAAACAAAGAGTGTATTGAAACACGATCAGATCGATCTTGTTTGCTATTCACATTCTGCCTCGTAGACTGTAAGGAAATAAGATTGGAACTCTATCTTCAGTTGTCGGGAGCAATTGGAATTTATTGAGAAACACTGGAAGATTCAGTTAATGAGACATTAATCGAATTAAACGAAGAGAAACAAAATACCTTGACACGCACTTAGTGGCAAAAAGATCGTTTAGAAATGTGATAACTGCGCTTTGAAAAGTTAAGAGAAGTTAAACATCCCGAGGATCCATAGACCAACATAGGAGCTAGGAAAAGTGCCTTGCAAAAACTCCTAAAAACAGATGGAGCAGAGGCCCACACTGCAGGATTGTACCTGGTGCGTATATATATGGGTATATATATGATGTATATATGTATATATATGAGTATATACCATATATGGGTATAAAACTGCAGAAACGTTGGCTGCACGAATATTCAGTAGTGGAAATTTAAATATTTCTATTCCACTAGCTAAATATACCTCTATATTTCAGGCAGAGCTTTTTGCAATTTTTCCTATGTACAAGACACATTAATATGAGTGCTAGATGCAAGAAACCATTCAACTCAGTTGGCTTTAGGACGTTAAAGATTAGTTTACATGGACTGGCAATGAAAAAAAAATAAAGAATTACTTGTAGATATAACCCCTATACAATAAAGACACTCACTGAAAAATCTACACTCTAAATCTACACTTTCATAGATTTTCATAAAGCGTTCGACACAATCGAAATATACAGCCTTATAGAAGCAATGAAGGCCAGCAGGATCGACCCTAGGTATAGTGAACTTATTTACAATATTTACAAAATACCACTATGACTGTTAAGATACACGATAAGACCCGACCAATAAAAATAAAACATGGAATTAGCAAGGAGATACATTGTTATCGAAATTATTCATAACGGCATTAGAGTATGCCTTTAAAATGGTCAATTGTGACCACAGAGGAGTAACAATAGACAGCGAACAGCTTAACCATCTCCGTTTCGCAGATGACATTGTCCTTATCGCTGATAATTTAGGAGAAGCCACATATATGTTAAATGAATTGGACTTTGTATGTTCGAAGGTGTACTTCAGAATGAACTTGATCAACACTAAGTTTATGACAAATATGATCCCCAATATTAGAAAACCCCAGTATAGAAAACCATCTATACGTTAGTCTGATCGTAAAAATTATCACCAAAATTGTATTATGTATCGCCAAAAATTGACAACAAAGGGCACAAAGTAGTAAAGAATGAAGGACCTTAAGGGAAGCCTATCTCCAGCAGAGGACGTGATAAATGAAGGCTAAATGATGATAATAATGATAACAGAATGGGCTACTTGGAGCAATCTATATTTTGGGAGCAAATATAAAATAATAGCATAAGTTGTTCGCTTCTCTATAATATTGTTTTCAGACTAAAAATAAATCAAGGCCACCGAAATAATTTGTTTAACCTAATTATAAAACTATTATGAACTAAGATTAAAATTTTTCCTTGTAGTGGTCTATTCTAAAATTCTAAAACTTGTAAAACCAAGTTAACCAAATAATTTAAACCTGCTGACTTGTTGGGATCTATTTCACTGATAATTTTTCGACTGTTCTAACAACCATTCAAATTGGTAATTGGTAACAGCACTTAGCCTTCGGCTTCGTGTACTTTCGATTGTCATGAAATTATCTCGTCTGTTATCAATGTCCTAGGGATATTACTACTGAGAATTTTTCGACTGTTCTAACAACCATTCAAATTTCGTCATTTTGTGTCATGTGGGAATATTTGGGGAATATTCATGGAATTTTGCTGCGGACGAGAATATGAGTTGAATGAACATAGAATGTTAACTTAAATTTTAATAATTGTACTTTAACTAACTGTACTTTTAATAAATAAATGTTTCGTTATTATATTATATTATTGAGTTATGATTTTTTTTTCGAAAAATTATCCGCCGAATATCCCTCGGACATTGATGAATGCCTCATAATTTCATGACAAATTTCTCAAGCTCGTTGCTTGACAACAGCACTCAGCCTTCGGTTTCGTACTGTTACCAAGGAACGAGCTTTCGATTGTCATGAAATTATCTCGTCTGTTATCAATGTCCTAGGGATATTACTACTGAAACTAGATCTTTTACTGTAGTTACTAGTTGAATACAATGACGTACAGGTCATATTGTTGCGTGCAGATAAATATGTATTAAAAAGTTTTTTAATTTGCGTGTACTTCATAAAAATTCTTTATAATTTGGTTCTTTGTAGTCTTGGACTCAGTATGCCTCCTTTCTTTCCACATGTTTCCCTTGGTATAATTCTTTCAAATTTTTATATACAACTTTCTTTATGAATTGCTTTATTAATTCTTTATGAATTGCTGAACTGACTTTATTTTTTCTTTGGAATCTATTCAGGAAGTTATACAATTATTTTGAATTATGTCTATTATTTTCTTTTTCTATCTACTTCATCATTTCTTATATTTTCTCTATCTTGCATAGATTGTTTAATTTTCTTCTTTGTTCTGTATAATTCTCTTCGTATTTCGCATTTTTTTATCCTAACAATTTTAATCTTACTTAGTAATTTTCTATTGCTGGCTTACATTCTCTATCGAAAATTGGTTTAAATAATTCGTCTGTGTAGCAATGATTAAATTTTATCCCTGACCATTTTTGAACCACCGCCAAATGGTTCTTACCATACTGTAACTATAAACAGGTGTTCGTCATGGTATATCGAGAGTATCTGGAGATTTTAGACCTCTAACTTCACCTGTTAATAGAACACTCTACCAGTTATCGATAGTTCAACTTGCATTATCACATAATGTGCGTGATATGTGATTAAGGGTGAACCACGGTGTAGTCTTATATCTAACGGGTCTCACGAACCGTTAGATGTAGAAAAATTCTGAGCATAGGAGAACAAGCGGACAATTTGATTTAAGAAAAGTACCACGTTTTGTCTCTAGGACCTAAATTGACGCCAATATATCAGATTAAAAGAAAAAATAATTATTTAGTACCATCAGAAAATTTTTAATTGTTTGATGACCGCTGAAAAAAATCAAATGAAAGTATGTATTAGGAAGGTACTTGTAGAGAATTATATCTGTTAACTGCTGTTGAATATAAAGGGAGGATTTATTTATGATAATTCACAGAATCAGCAAAATATGACAAACCCCCTTGCAATTTACACGCCATGCAATAATACGCCAATATATCCGATTAACGAATTTTTAAATGATGATCAAATACTACAAAACATAGTTTTTTCATTTTCTGACCAAACGGTGCACTTTTTCATAGGGGTATGTATATATATTTTTAAGTAGTACGTCAGGCTTAATCGAAATAAGCTTAAAACTAAAAGTTGGATCGAAATATTAAGTTTTTATGTTCACGAAATCTGCAGGACATGTAGACCTCCACCTGGAAATTTTCTCACGACCCGTTAGATGTAAAATAATTCTGAGCAAAGGAGAAGAACAAGCGGCCCATTTTATGTAAGAAAAGTACCACGGTTTATCTCTAGGACCTAAATTGACGCCAATATATCAGATTAAAAGAAAAAATAATTATTTAGTACCGTTAGAAAATTATTAATTGTTTGAGGATCGCTGAAAAAAAATAACAAAATGAAAGTATTAGGCAGGTACTTGTAAAGAATTATATCTGTTAACTGCTGTTGAATATAAAGGGAGGATTTATTTATGATAATTCACAGAATGGGCCAAATATGGCAAACCCGCTTTCAATTTACAACCACACTGATTCTAACGTTAAACACCCAGTATAAACAACTATTAACTTTAAACGAGCCAGCAGGATTAAATCTATTGTTTACAAATCTTTATTTTTACAATATATTTTGTTCAATCGGCTACACTAAGAGAACATTTGTATTTTTAGTTAAAAATATTAGCGCAGACATTTATTATCACAAAATTTATGGAAACTTCAATTTACTAGGATCCGGATACTCGGGTGTTTCTATAGCACCTTTGCCAAATTTGAGCTCCAGAAAATCTCTTATATTATTAGGACTTGGCACAGACCTTCCTAAAAATTCTATACTTGACATGGGATGTAAAAAAATCTCAGGAAATTCCATGTTTTTATGATGAGTATACCAAGAATCTTTCGTCATAGTACCGTTTTTGGAATAAAATGGAAACAAATTAACGTGTATGCTATTAGTTTTACTAAAATGAACTCGATAAAAGTTACCTTCCGTTGCTTTTTCCCATAAAAATCCCTGTGGATCCAGCACCGATTTAGATCGAGCCATCTTTAACCATGAACAACGATCCAGATCCTCTCGTATAAAGCCCACGTCGACGTTGTGGTCCCAAGGCAAAATTTCGCCGTTTCTCATCGCACCTAATAGGCTACCGGCTTCCAACCAATATCGAATTCCTGTTTCGTCTAACATGCTGAAAGTATGTTTGGCCGTTTTTCGTAAATTGGCCAGGCAGCACGGAGGAGTCCACCTTCTTTCGTACAGGTATGAAGGCATAGCATCTATAACAGTTCCAAAACATCTTTCTGTTTCTTTTGTACATCCATACCTAGAAAATTTTACAATAAGCACATTTTTTTAAACTTATCTGCACCAAACGTTGCGTCTTAAAGAAAAGTATACCAAAAATCAATTTCACTTACCATTCTGTAACTCCTGTTTCACGAATAACTTTTTTAATTTTAAAAATATTGTACAACTTCTTTAATCTGGTGGCTTCCAATTGTTTTTGTTGCCATTGAGCATGATGGGAGCGAAAAAGAGGTTTGCCTTCATGAAAAGACACATCTTTTAAAATGTGCACCTAGAAAAATAAAAAATAATTTAATCTTTCACAGAAACATGTCAATAAAAATACAACAAGGCATGCTGTACGCTAGACTAGATAATTTAACATAATTCAAATAACAGTAACAATAAATAGCATCAAAGAAGACGGAAATAAGGTAATAAGGGTTCAGATATTTATGCATTTGCACCTTGATATACAAGGTGAGCAACCAAAAACTTTTCAGTTAGGATCAATCACTATTCTTATTGACGCAAAAAAAAACAATAGAATATTCAGACCTATCAACTTTTATCTTGAGTGGGACATATTTCGTAAATATAATCATTCCCAAATTTCAACCCCAAAGGCCTTCTTGCCTTCGTTCCTCAAATTTTAAATGAAAAAGGTACCTTGTGATATATACTGTTGAAGGTTCAATTAACCTTTTTACAGGCACCTCATGTATTTATTTTGAATGGCTAGTTCTTCAACGCAATGTAATTATACCCTTTGTAGGTGACACAGATGATTCAAACTGCAAATTTAATATAATATATACATATATATATATATATATATATATATATATATATATATATTATATATATATATATATATATATATATATATAAATAGAGTGTGTGTAACGACGCTAAGAATACAATTCTTTGGAGGGTAACTTTCGGGAAAGCGTCAAAACAAGGATCAGCTAGAGATGGTATAAGCCAGCTTGGTGTAGAACTTTATTCTATATGTGAAATTTTCGGTGATATGTTGTCACCTTCATCAGCACCTAAATGGAAAACCTATTATAGTACAGTGGTGGAAATCAACATTTAAAAACCTACATTGAAAATGTTCAGTTGGTCCTAGTTGTAAAAAACACTGTCACAAACATGTTAAAAATATTAAAAAATACATTTAAAATTTTGAATAAAAACATTACAAACAACAGGGTAGTTTTTCAAATACAAACACAACAAAAAATCTAAAATTTACAACCTACAAAAACCACAAATAGAAAAGAAGAATTAATCTTCTTTTTTGATGACATATTTCTGTCAACATCCGGATGTCATATGTAACGAGGTTATAATTTTCACTTTTGCACATCACAATCACATGGATACGAAAAGAAAGAGCCCTAGGCAACATAATAAGCAAGGAAATAAAGTCCCCTCTAAAGCACAGGTAGGTAATCTATGCATGTCATGATAAGTTCCCCACATTTTCCAGTTTGTTACTTCTTGTCAAGTCCTGTTGAAGTAGAAAGGAATAAATACAACTTAAGTTTTCAACATCTTTCTTACAGTTCATAGGAGAGCTGCAGTTATGGATGTAGCACATTTCTATGAAGTTTCTCTTAAATTGGTTGTCAACCCTCTTTAGTACTTGCACATTTTCATAGTTAGCAGTGTGTCCAGTATTCTTAATATGTTGGCTAAAGGCTGTGCTGGTGGGCTTCCTCACAACATCACTCCTGTGCAAAGCTATTCTTTTTGAGAGTTTCTGGCTGGTTTGACCGACATACACTTCTGAACAAGAACCACATGGAATAGAATACACTACATTGAAGTTATCCAGTTTTTTAACTCTTTCTGTCAGGTGAGTAAAGTATGTCCCTAATAATTCTGTTTACAAAAGATTAGGGACATACTTTACTCACCTGACAGAAAGAGTTAAAAAACTGGATAACTTCAATGTAGTGTATTCTATTCCATGTGGTTCTTGTTCAGAAGTGTATGTCGGTCAAACCAGCCAGAAACTCTCAAAAAGAATAGCTTTGCACAGGAGTGATGTTGTGAGGAAGCCCACCAGCACAGCCTTTAGCCAACATATTAAGAATACTGGACACACTGCTAACTATGAAAATGTGCAAGTACTAAAGAGGGTTGACAACCAATTTAAGAGAAACTTCATAGAAATGTGCTACATCCATAACTGCAGCTCTCCTATGAACTGTAAGAAAGATGTTGAAAACTTAAGTTGTATTTATTCCTTTCTACTTCAACAGGACTTGACAAGAAGTAACAAACTGGAAAATGTGGGGAACTTATCATGACATGCATAGATTACCTACCTGTGCTTTAGAGGGGACTTTATTTCCTTGCTTATTATGTTGCCTAGGGCTCTTTCTTTTCGTATCCATGTGGTTGTGATGTGCAAAAGTGAAAATTATAACCTCGTTACATATGACATCCGGATGTTGACAGAAATATGTCATCAAAAAAGAAGATTAATTCTTCTTTTCTATTTGTGGTTTTTGTAGGTTGTAAATTTTAGATTTTTTGTTGTGTTTGTATTTGAAAAACTACCCTGTTGTTTGTAATGTTTTTATTCAAAATTTTAAATGTATTTTTTAATATTTTTAACATGTTTGTGACAGTGTTTTTTACAACTAGGACCAACTGAACATTTTCAATGTAGGTTTTTAAATGTTGATTTCCACCACTGTACTATAATAGGTTTTCCATTTAGGTGCTGATGAAGGTGACAACATATCACCGAAAATTTCACATATAGAATAAAGTTCTACACCAAGCTGGCTTATACCATCTCTAGCTGATCCTTGTTTTGACGCTTTCCCGAAAGTTACCCTCCAAAGAATTATATATATATATATATATATATATATATATATATATATATATATATATATATATATTACAGACCAATTGCACTAACATGTACTGCATTCAAACTATTAGAAAAAATGGTTTACCTTCATCTACTTTGGACACTTAAAGATCTAAATATTATTATTCCAGAACAAAGTGCTTTTTGACAAAATAGATCAACTCTAGACAATATTATAGACCTAGAAATCAGTGTACATGATGCCTTCTCCCTTAATCAAAAAATGTATTGCCATATTCTGCGATATTGAGACAGCCTTTGATACAGTTTGGCATCGTCGTATCATCCATTAGTGTATGATTTGGAAATTAAAGGAGAATGCCTTCCATTTCCTGGCTGTAAGCTGACAGCCAGGAGTTTAGAGCGCGCATCGGAAAAGCTAGATCCACTTCAATCAGATGGGGGCCTTCTTCAAGAGTCACAACCTCTCTCTTGATACAAAAGTAAGAATTCTGCGATGCTACGTCTTCTCTGTCCTTTTTTATGGTGTTGAATTGTGGACCTTGAAGAAAGATATGTGCAAAAAACTGGAAGCATTTGAGGTGTGGCTATATCGGAGAATACTTAAGTCACAAATGAGATCCTCAGAAGAATGAATAAGAACCGAGAGTTACTGACCACCATTAAATCTCAAAAGTTACAATTCTTCGGACATATTATGCGAAATGAATCCAGATATGCTCTCCTGCAAGCCATCCTGCAAGGAAAAATATTTGGAAAGCGAGGTCCAGGAAGAAGAAGAACATCTTGGTTAAAGAACCTCAGAATCTGGTTTAATACAATATCTGTGTAGCTTTTTCGCGCTGCTGCAGATAAGATAAAGATTGCCATGATGGTCGCCAACATTTGTAACGGATAGGTACATCAAAAAGAAGCCTTGCATTTACAAAAAAAAACTTCTTACATAAAAGGTATATGCAAGTACGAGTAAATGGTAACTATAAATTATAAAAATAAGGTTGTAAAGCAAGAATGATTATGTATATGATGTTGCAACATATATTCTTTATCCCGAGACCATATATCTCCCATATATAACACAGCGAAGGAGTTTATCGCCAAATATTTAAAATTATGCAACCACTCGTCTGCGGCGCTACAAACTCTTTCTTTATTTGTCAATACCAGAGTTATAATGTAATGTATACCCAAGTATACCCAGGCATCATGTTTCAAGGCTACATCGGACCCTTACATAGCAATAGTAACTTCTGCAAAAGTTGTACCTCCGTGCTCATTGGTGTCATCGAAACTTATTTAGGGCCGAAAAGAGTCAGGTAGTGGAATCGCCTCTTTGCTCATTCTATCTACACTTTTATTTGTGGATTGTAAACTTTCGATATTTATCAAAGCAATTTGGAGAACTTCAAGGGTGAACGGTATAACCACGAAGTGTCTCTTCTTCTCAAGAGCTCTTGTTATAGTCCCTGTTGTTTTCTTGTCTTCAATCGTACCATTCACTAACATCTGGCTAGATATTTGATCTGTTTGAGTTGCCTTACTCAGGTTTTTAATCAGTTTTCCTCCAGTTTTAAAAAGGTCTATGATCTGGAGTTAGTTTGGGAGGTCTAGAGGTGATATAACAGTATCGTTACTCAGGTTTTTAATCAGTTTCGCCAAAGTTTCGCAAAGGTCAATTTTCCGGAAATATATTTGGTATAAGTTGCTTTTGGGAGGTCTGGAGGTGATGCAGCAGGGTTGTTAATCAGATTTTTAATACACATATTTCTTTTTTGCTCTCAACGCTCATTTCATAAAATCTTTGCCAGTCTGGACAGTATTATCATAATACCTGATATTTGACTTAATACTTCTTGACAGGTTCGTAATTAAGTAGGTAAAACTAACTAAGTACAACTTCAAGATAAGTGCCTCCGTTACACTATCTTTACAATTGTGGCAATATTCTTTTAAAACTGTATGAAATTTTAGTAATTGGGTCCCACTTAGCCGTTTTGAAATTAAATGTGTGTTGGAAGTAACCTGTCTCGGGAGATACAACGCTTCCCATTGTAATAATGATTGGGAGTTTTAGAAAATTACACCACTTTAGTCACCTGCTGTGCAATAATCTTGCTAATAAAATACTAGCAAGATTGTACCCAATTTACATAAGTTTGTCTACAACGATAAATTATATAAAAATAGATTGTTGAAATATGATTTTTAGTATTATTATATTCCTAAATTTTTTTCCAGATATTTTTATTTGCAAAGATCAAGTGAGTGACTTTACTACATTTATGTATGTAGAAAGACGTTATTCATTATTATTAGTCGATTTTTTACGTCAACAACTATGATATGAAACCAAAAACTGTCAGGGACATATTGATAGTTAAATGAGATGGTTGGTTTGGAGAAGTCCAATTTTGTTGTCTAACTCTTGGTGAATA